ATAAGATAATAATTGATCTGAACATAACTACTATACGTGTACGAAATTCTAACCGCGCGCTGCGCCTCCCTTGTTTAGTGCGGCGCGCCACCTCTGGGTGGCGCGCCGCACGGTTTGGGAACCGCTGTGCTGTACAGAATAATGGCACACCGGGCCAGTCCGCTACTTGGTGTGAATTTTAGACGTTCTACGGAGTGCCCGGTGTCAAAACGAACGGCGCCGGTTTGGTTGTCCCGCACAATCATTTGCACATCGCGCAAACATAAGACGTATGAAATACCTAGAGACAGCAAACTATATTGTCGAAGACGGACGTCGTTTATGCGTTGGGCAAAAACGACGGTGAATTATTGATATTTAACGGTCGCCACTCGTATTGCATTGTGTCCGTTGCGAAATAATTAACATCGATGTAAAAATAGACGATACCCGTACCGATGTCGAATGTATTTTGCGATCGTTTTCGCCCCGCCGCGGTAAATGGTTGACGTCTCCAAACTGTTGTCGAGCCGGATACAAAGTTCACTGCAGTTGTTCTGTATGCCTATAAACAATTCACGCCGGTTTCACACGCCTTTCGCATTTCCCCCCTCGGAATAATAAACCAACGGATAAACGATAATAATAATAATAATAATTTAATTGATAACAATTAACATCTATTCGAATTAATTTCCGTTGAGTACTTGTTAGCGGGAAACGGGAAGTACAGCATAGGTAGTGCGTTCGTTATTTAAATAATCGAGTAGTATCTAATTGATGGACCGTTTACGCTATTACTATTTAACTATTTATAAAACCCAAATTTATCGTGTTACGTATCCCGTACGAAATACGAGGACGTCAAGAAAACCATCGCATACTAAACGCAGTACAATGGAATAAAATGTACGTGTCCGTTGTTGAACGATTTGTCGTATTATTTTCTCGTTAAAGCGTTAATAAAGCTGACGCGTTTACGTGTCGTACATTTTACAGTTGCGTGTTTTATAAATTGGCTTGCCCGTCAGCGGTATCGGCTATTTTTGTTCGTTAACAGCCGATATTCATTTAGACTATAATAATAATAATTATTATTATTATTATTGTTATGGCACAGTTTCGGTCTTTTAATTTGTATACACTTGCAATGTGTTGCAAAATCGATTTCTGAGCTATATATATATATGCATACACACATTGTGATAGAACAACAGAACAGAATATACGGTATAATTATATTGCTGGGATTAACGAAATTATTGTAAGTCTCCAAGCAAACCGAGGATAATTATTATCGATTAACGAATACCCAACAGATTCGTTGTAATTATCTGTGGTCCGGGGCAACGATGCACGGACCGTTTGAAATAAACACTGTTCGACATCGCAATCCAAAGGGCCTTTCGCCCCCTCCCCCCTTCGCCGTTTCGAGCGATTTCAATTTCCGCGCGGGCTATGGTTATGCGTCTCTGTTTTTTTTTTTTTTTTTTTTT